TTTCATCCTCCTTAGCAGAGATGACAGAAGGGGCCAGAAATCTGTCAGACCAAGACTATAACCAGCAGAAAGGATTATCAGAGTGCTGTATGAGATAGGATGAACAATAGCAACTTAAAACAAAGAATTTAAAAATTCAATCCAGATATTTAAAAGGGAAAAGAAAAAAAAAAAAGGCCTGGTAATGAAATCTAATAAGCCTGTGTAGGAAACTCCCAAGGAAAGCGTGTGAGCTTCACAGAATAAGGACACAGAAACTAAATGAGAATACAGGTGTTAGAGAGGGGGATGAACAAACAATACCATTCCTTCTCTGAAATGAGTGATCAGATGTGTCAGTCAGCACTAGTCTTGGTACATTGCTGAGAGCTCTGTCTCTTCTACTTGTCCAGTGCAAGCCATCAAGAACATCAGGCCAATGTCATGTAATTAACTGAGATGAATTAATAGAATAAACATTCAATCGTTACCAAAATAAGCAGGATTAAACTACTGGGTTTTTAAAAAAATTTGCTTTTATCTAGTAACACAATCAAAAGAAAGAAAAATATACCACTAATTTAGTAACCTGCAGGGTTCCACACACTGGGAACCATTTCTCCAGAACACCTAATGTGAGTCTCCTGTCCATTCAGCAGTACGGGAGAGGCAAGGGATCACAACTGGTTCTTTGGAGTCTTATTTCTCTAATCACAAAGGCACATATGTTTAACCAGTCTGCTGCCAGTGCCACAGAGCATGGTAAGAAGTGCCACACAGCAAGATATCAGTACAGATTAAAACTCTCCCAAGTTTCCCACTGACTAAAGATTTGAGTCTTGGCTCCCATGTGCATAAGCCACCTTTGAAAACACTCATTAAGTTCTAAGGAACTTAGCAAAAGTCACTTAATATCTTAAAAGGACATCAAACTTTTTCGTTTTATTATTCTTATGTGATTAATTTAATCTGATATCTATATAGGGCCATCTAGAAATCTGTTTGTCTTTGCTGAGGCACATCAAAAACGTGGCTTAATTCACCTCCAAATTTTAAGTGAAAAATCTAGCTCAGCTCTCATATAAAATTAATACTAAATAATAATCTCCAAACAAATTTAGAGATATCTTGATGGCATATTTTAATCTGGGGAACTGATTTTTAAAATAATGCAGTTGCTTTGACATTACTTATGCAAACCCAATGGCACTTTGTTCATTCTAAGAGAAACACTACGCAAATTACATCTCATGTAGGATTACTCTAAAAAAGGGAAGCAGGGTAATATAGAAGAAATGTGGGTTTCTTTTTCATGTCATAAACCTCATTGCTGCTAATGATGAGGATAAGGTCTTTGAAATTCTGATATTTAGAGACCACCATAGCAACACTTGCATCCATCAAGTCCCGCCGCTGATGGCAGCTGCTGCAGAAGAAATTCGGCTACAGGCAATTAGAGAACGATTTTCCTCTGCAGAAAGTTTGCTTCCATCTTTATTAGTTAGGGGTGGTTTACATCTTGGATGATGATTTATGTGTATTACACCAACCTACTGCTCACATTTTTTATGAATTTTAAGAATTGTCACAACGCGCGGCTCTTTTTCTTGACAAATTTTTACACTTAAAAAAAAATATGGTGCTGCAAGAGATTCAAATCTACAGCACCAGAGCAGATCCTTCTAACAATCCCAGGGTATGTCTCTGCTCTCACACCAAACTACCACGAGCAACAGCTCCGTGAGAAATTAATTGTGACACTGTATGAAAACCAAAACTAAATCCCAGGAATACACACACACACTTAATTTTTAACTTCATGCAATGGTTGTCTTGACATGTGAAATGGGCATTCAAATATTCAAAGCCATCTTCTAGTAAGTTTTTTTCCTTGAAGTTTGTTTCAAGGAGGCCTCTCTGAGTAGCCTTCAGTGATGAGAGCACGTGGTGGATGCTCTAAGTATGGAAATCATCAGATAGCTGGCAGAGCACACCCTCACATGGGGCAACAAATCACCCGAGCAGGAGTCTAAGGAAGCATGATCACCAATTATCTCCCATGAATATGAGGTGTGTCAGATGTAAGAGCAGAAATATTGTCTATTCAGATTTACAATCAAGGTTATCTTTCTCAAAAATCTATGTCCTTGGTGTAATTTGAAAAAAAAGGATGTCAACACTTTATCCTCAGTAGGTAAAAAGCCATTTCCTCTTGAAAAAGAAGAATGACAAACACCAGCAAACTCTTTTGCAGTTTAAAAGCTCCTGTCTGTGCACATTACTCTTTCACAGAAAAAAAAAATAATAAAATATATATATAGAAAAAAAAAAATCTCTGTTTTGCTCTGTACACAAGGCTGCAACTAATTACAAGAAGAGACAGATGCTGAGTAGCCTTAAGGCTTTCCCTGCCACCACAGTGAGTCTGTGCGCTAGTCAACAAGCAGGTAGTGAGTGAACTCAAATGTTATCTGACAAGGCAGCAGATCCCATCACCTAGGGTTAGAATACAGACAAGCAACTCCGTGTTCAAAAGTAAAGACAGAAAAATTTCAAGCAGATTGTTTCTGACAGAAATCATATCACAGCCGCACTCTCTGACAAAGTCTGGGCGAATGAAACTCTACACTTTCTGCTTTCCATCTTCCCCTTTAAGAAACAGCCAGTATTTCAAAGGTACATTGAAGGTGACAGCTCAATGCACGGTGGTTAGCAAGTGCTTCTGTGCTGGTTTCCTCTTTGGAAGCATCAGGATGCCTCTACTGCATGTCTGTGGGGGAGCACAAGAGTGTCCCACTTTTTCCGACTCGTTCTTGGTTTCCTGAACCCTTCCAAGCTTGCTCACAGATGCCAAGTGTTAGTTTCCACAACATAAAATTGTGGCATAAAAAAAAAAACTTCACGTGACTATCTGGAAGTTTTAAAGAAGCTGCACCACCCTAAAAAGGGAAGTTAGCAAAAAGATAAAACCTGTCTATTATTGCCAATACTGTTTCCCCTGAAAGCACTGAATGCTTAGCAGAGAGTTGGTTCTTAGCTTTCAAAGAGAATTTTTGCCCTCCCTTCACAATAAACACGATCACCACACATTTTTGAGTGCTACAAATCTCTGCAAAGTAACGGATTTTTAACAGTTTTCCTGCCTTTCCACCCAGGAAGGATTGAATTCATCTGGATTGATTTGGCTGTTTCACTGTGAGTAATGTCAAAACAAGACAGGAGAAAATACAGTGTTCAATGGAGCACAACAGATTTTATGTACATAGGTTCTAGCAGTGCTGTGGATTTTGACCTGCAAGCTGGGCATTTGCTCCCAATGGCCCGTGAAAACCCCTAGGGAAGTTTTTAGGCTTTACAGACTAACATTACAAATACCACTTTCTTTTGCTCAAGACGAGTATTTCCCAACCTTAAAAATTAAACAGAGAACATGAAGTGCACTTGCTCACCCTGTGGTATCATTAAGACACAAAAGGGGAATGAGGCATTTATTTCTGCATAATGGGATATACACACTGCTAATTATCACAGGTGAAAGACAGAGGACTGTAAGCAGAAGCAAGTGAAGAAGTACCAAATATTACAGACAGAGCATGGTCACCCCATGTTAAAGTTATTTTTGGACTCCAGATTTCTTTAACATTTTCTTTCCTTCCTCTTTCCTTTTAGGAAAGACATTAAGGACTGTTTAATACTATGGAATTGCAGCACTTTACCATTAATGAAAAGACTAGTGCAGCAAATTTCACTGGAGATTATACTAGAAAACTAGAGGCATGGAATATAGAAAATATATTTGAGTGTCTTCTTGTTGGAGTCAGTTCATTTTATAACGTTGCCTACTGTGCAGCACACTGATTTCTGTGTAAGATATTGGCTTTAGTCATAATTAAATTTACATGGCTTGGGATGCAGTGCCTTCCAGAATGGGACAATGTATAACTTACATAATTTTCTAAATTACTTAAAATTAAGTAGTGTCTGACAGATATTTCTAGGGATTAGAGCTAATGGAACTATAGTACCAGCAGTAGTTCCTAATTACATAGTACTGCATTAAATTTGGTTTATTAAGTCTTCATACTCCATCAGAGAATTTTCATTGTCGGAATGTGTTTCCGTCCTAAGATAAAGTATTTCACAGAAAATCAAATTCTTTGTTAGCAGTAATAATCTGTCCTTAAAAGTCTAGTTAGCAAGGCTGTGCTTACTCTATGGAGCTTTGTCATACTGCAGCTGCTTTAGTCAGCTCCTTCAAAGCTGAAGTGTCTGCTCACTGGTACAGTAAGAGTAGTGTCATACAGCTTATGAACAATTTAAAAGCAGTTAGACTTTGGGGCCAGTCATGCACATCATGTGTGGATTTGAGTGTCCTGCCTGAGGTTATGGAAGACCTACAGTCCACTTCTCTTTCTTTAAAAGAAGTCTGAAGTACCAAAAAAAGAGAAAAAGCATCATTTGCAACAGCAGCGTGTTCTACCGAGTTATTTCCCCCATTTCTTCTGACAAACTCTTTAGATGTCTGCTAGGGAAATCAAAAAGCAACCTGAAAGGCAGGGGGCTGGGCAGAACAAAAATTTCACAGCCTTTCTAGTAGTAGAACATGACCAAGAAAAATCAGACCTAAAATAACTAAGCAAAACCCTGACAATTCCAGAACTCTGGTACCTCAAATTCGGTATACGGTTTAATTCATCCAGGCAGACCCTGAACTTGGAAACACTTAGGCTTTGGACCTTTCAGATTAAATGAATGGTTGGATGACTTAAATAACAATAATAATAATAATAATAATAATAAGCTCTTTTTATAATCAAATGAGCTGCCTGATCTCTGTGAAACCATCATATCATGAGCGCCTGAACATCATGAGTTCCTCTTGATTAATGTGACCAGCCAGGAAGGCAGTGTTCACAGAAGGATAAAAATTACAAGAAGTGAAAATTACAAAGAGATTACAAAAGAAAATGTTTCATATAAAACACAGTGACTCAGTAGCCCAGAGGTTGCTCCAGACTTACAGTAGGACGGAAGAAATTTGCTTCAAACATCATCTCTCTTTCCACTTTTTCATCCTGCTCCTTCCCGTTGGTTCACACCTCCTCAGACACTGTTGTTTTAAGAAGTGTTAGGGGAGCTGCATCCAGGCAAGTCCTGAGGTATTTGAGAGACAGTCTCTACAAGTCTGGAACTGAGCAGAGATGATACACACTTGGGAAGAGAAGTGTCCTTTCTCAAACATGGCAAAAGTTTAACGAGTTTATAACAATAGGAATGCTCTTGTGATAAAAACAGGAAGAAAAGTGTTTCCATCTGATTGTCTCTTTGCTTTGGCTGCAAAAGGAGAGGTACAGATCAGGGCTTACACTTCCCCAAGAAGAGCCTTCTCTGTTCTCATGTGCAACAGACAAAGGTTGTTAAGAAACTTGAAAAGAATTTTCATTTTAAAGCATATATTTTTAATTTTTTTAAAAAATATGTTTACTTTCAATATACAAATACACTACAAAGGATAGGTATACATTAATTCTATTGGGAATTTTAATAGAAACCACAAAGAATGAGTTGTATACTCTAGCAAGCATCTAGTTGCTTTCTCGCAAAACAGAAAAGTTAAAAAAAATATAATTTAATGGCTCTATAAAAACCATTACTTATATTACTTTCTTATATTAAGTAATATAACAAGTAGGTTAGGCTTGGAAGAAATTTCCCATTTACAGTATGAACATGCATGTAGTCCTGATGCTTAATTGTTTCTAAAATACTTCAGAAATTGTAGCCTCCTCACCACAATTTCAGCTCTGCACCTCCATGAAATTCTAGCTACTTCAAGGATATTCTGTCAGTAATGTTCCTTTATGTTCTTGTTTGGTTTTTTTTTTCTATTTTATTCACTCAAAACGGCTAAAAAGCCTAAGAGAAACTTTTTGGAATCTGTTCATAATAAATTACGTAGATTTTCTAAAAGTAGTCAAATACATTCTTTTCTTCATTAAAATATACAGTGAAACAATTCGTGTTCACTGCAAAATCAATAAGAAAGCGTTGGACAGAACAGTAGATACCCTCTGTTAACAAATTATGACCACTTCATTAAAACCATAAAGGAAGTCATTTTAAAACCATTTGCAAGCATGCAGAAAAAGATATGGCATAGATTTTGAAGTGTGAACAAAATGTTTCAGAAGGGCTCCAAAATTGTCATTGCTGCACACCATCAGGCTTTGCTGGAGTTACCTCATCCCTCCTGATGAACAGGGCATTGCACATCCCTGAGTGTTTTGAAAAAAAAACCCCACACTGTACTCTTGAAGTTAGAAATACTAAACTTAAGAATCTGAGTCCCTAAACAACTGATTGGGGAATTCTTAGGAAACAGACCCTGTTGGCAGTGAAGGGAGGATCAGCAGTTGCCTGAATTCTCTCTCTGCGTTGCCTTAAGGGCCCAGAAGTCAGGTTGTCACACAAGCTATAAAGCAACACAAGCAGCACAGGTACTCGTGAGAGTCTAAAATAAAATTTAAAAGTGTGTATACGTGCTCCAAGTGCATATCTGTGCATTGAGAACTTATTTAAGGATGGCATGTGCCCTCTCATAAATTATTAGCTCAGGGTGTTGCCTCTGCAGATGAAAACGTACAAGAGTTGTCTCTTAGTTGGGTGATAAAGCTTTGTTGCAAGGAATATAGTGGCCAATTTAATGTGTAGCCCACATATGTAATTTTTAAAAATTAGAATAATTTGTGGAAAAAACAACCAAACCACCACAATGACCAAGAGTGTCTTTTTGTCCTGCTACAAATAACTTGTATGATAAATACTACACAATGAAATTATGTGTTGTGTTAGTGTAGCTAATGAAAGAAAGTAAGGAGGGTGGGGTTTTTTGTCCCTCTCTGCTGTTTCCAAGTAGCTGTTGCTAGATAGTCCATGCAGTTAAAGGATTTTTTTGTGCATCAGGTGCTTCCAAGGGCAGGAACTATGATTTGGTACACATTTGTAAAGTGCTATGTGTACTTCTGGACCTCAAAAAAAAATAAACAACACGAGTATGCTTCATTTAACATGTCTAAAAATATTTTTCCCTCAGGAACAGCAAGCAGGCAACTCTGTAACTGGTCACAAGGCCAATAAAGTGTAATGCACAGAGACATTGAGGGCTGTCTCCCTACATCTCACTGTCCATTGCTGTGATCTCTGGCTCCTGCTTAAAGCTCCACCACATCAGGAACTGGTTATTCCAGTAATTAATAATCAGTGTTAGGTACTCTGACTGTATACATCTTGACAAAGCAGTAATCATTTTGAAAGAAAATAGCTATTGGACTTGGCTTTTTTCCTAAATGAGGTCCTCTGCTAAAACAAAACAAACCAAAAATTGCTTTTTAGCCCTCAACCTAAAAAACTTATATTCGTATATAAAAGATTAAAAAAAAATAAATATAGAAGTGTGTGTTGTGTATAAAGGTAAGTGCTTATATACTTTTATGACACTGAACACGCCGAAAAAAAGCAGTATTTTTAAAACATACCTTCTGCAGCTTCCTTTGCTTCCTTACCACTGACATCATTTGCTGCTGCTTCCCCTGTTCTCCTCCAGGGCACCATCCATCGGCAGAAGGCGGCTGTTCCTTTTGTGAGCCCGAGATCCTCTGTGTGGCCTCTCCTGGAGAAAGTTTGATCATCATTGACAGTTGCCCTGCTGCTCTCAAAAACGCCAGGAGGAAGAGCTGAGGGGCAAAGCCATTTCCATAAACGATGGACAGGAATCCTGCCTTCTCCAGGAACACACCAGCAGTGCAACATTTACAGGACTAACACAGCTTTTGTGTGAGGAAGCCAAAATGTGCTGGTTTATCATCAATTTTGCATATAGATCGTTTTTGTCAGAAAATAGATTTATCTTGTGATTGGTTTTGGTTGGGCATTTTTGGTTTTGCTTGTTTGTATTGTAATTTTTTCTTCTTCTTTTTTTTTTTCCTTAATATGCATTTTGGAAGAGTTCTCCCTATTTAAACCACATGTTTTCTAGGAGAAATTTTCCAGCTAATCAAACAGCACCTAGTCAGGTATTTGCAATGGTCCAGTTCCCCCTATTTTTTCAGGAAACACTCTGAAAGAAAAATCCAGCATAACTAAGCTAATGAATAGAACTGCATAAAGGTGTTTCAATTATACAAGACACATTCCACTCCCCCTAAGCCATACTCAGATTTCACAACTATTCAGAAAGAAAGAAAAGGACAGGAAAGTTTGGTTTAGTTTTGTTGTGGGTTTGTTTGGGGTTATTTAAATCAAATAAGAAGAATCACCAGGAGGCTTCCCTGAGAAGTCTTCTAAACTGAACACGGATTTTCCAGGAGGAGTCAGTCAATAGCTGGAAACATCTGCTTCAGATCTCCTAGAGTAGATCTGATGTGCTAAATTTGTTGCTAAATTTGTTTCAACTGATTTCAAATGGAATGGCACTACTTTACAATCTTGTCTTAGAAAAGGCAAATCCACACCTATTCTCAGCCTCAGAACAACAGCAGGTGATGCAGAGAACAGGAGAGATAAGTGGAATATAAGAATAATTTTACCAGGCTTTAGTAGTAGTAGTAGTCAAACTACTAGATATACACACCAGTATGAAGAAGACATAGATAAACCTCAATCCTGTACGTTCAAACATGGATCCACCTTGACTTCTTCAGGATTCTTTGGGACAAATTAAAAGTCATTCATGGTATAGATCCTATGTACACTTTTTTTTAGATAATATTTCCCAAGATCAAATATTAATTCTTTTAAAAAAAGCCTAAACATATTAAAATATATATTCACTGAATCAGTTTCCAGGAACATGCTGGTGACGCTTTGTCCCTTGTACTAAGATTATTTGTTCCCTGTTGTTTATTTTCCATTACTACCAATAATTTATCCACCAAACAACAGATAAACATAAGCATTTGTTTGAAATAAATATTGTTTAAATTTTACACAGTTTAACAGGAAAAAACTACAGGATTAAAACTATTTTCACTAACCTTCAAGAAGAGAAGTTCATGGCTTTTGGGTGTTTAATGAATTAAGCCTTGGATGTGTTGTTAAACATGATTTTTAGCCACATTGAAAATTGTTTCTTGGTAATAACAGGTTTTGAACAAAATGTGGGGTTTTTTTTCTTTTCTTTCTCTTGTCAACTGCTATTTTGTTTCTCTTTTTCTCTCCAGCTGCTCATGTTATTACTTGCTTAATTTTTCCTTTTTCTCTTTCGATCTTCCCTCCCCCTTCAGGTGTTTCAGTGCTGGTTTCCAACTATTCTATTTCTGGTAGTTTTCTCTCACAGGCATTTGTTTCAATCGTGTCACTAGGTTTTGTGTATTTATTGTTGCTGTTTTAAATTAAAATAATCTCATCAAATCATTGTCGTTCCTTAGAGTGATTTTTGGTTGGGTTTTTTTTGCATAAATATACATGAGATTAAAGCAGGGTTGAACACAGCTTCATTTTACAGTATAATATCAGCTTTCTAGTTATTGATTACCACCTCAAGAAAACATAATATCAGCTCAGCAAAAATCAATATATTGTTGGAATTTTTTTTACTCTCTGTACACGTAAGTTGCTGATGATCTGCAGGCTGGAAACCACACGCAAGTGAAGCAGCAGAATAAAAACTGCACGTGGCACATGACAAAGCTTCTGTGTATAAAACATATTTCATCCTGTAGCAGCAGGAAAATCCATTCAGTAACAAACTCTAGAGGTCCAGCAGAACTTCTGTTACTTGGGCAGATCCACAAGTGAAGTCAGACGTGGGCTAAAACGAAACAACCTGCCCACCAAAATGCAATTGCTCTTAGAATCATGGGAATAAATGTCTCCTGTGCCAAATGAACTCTCTCAGATATATCAATGACAAACTGTTTATGTAGAAATAATCTCATTTTCTCTTATGCCTCCATTGTATTTTGCCACATTCTTGTGATGACACATTGCTACACAACCACTAGAATTTAATGTATTTCAGTGATTCAAACATCATCTTAGAGTATTTTGACATCAATGAGAACAACAGGTACAAACCTCTGAACCTAATTTGGCTGTATAGATAGATTGGGGAGCTACACAGGGGTGGAGAAAGAAATCTGATCAAACAGAATCATCAAATTTGCCTCCTTACACTGATTTTGTATTGTAGTAAATAGAATTTCGCCAAAGTAGCTGAGATTTGTTTACTCTACATCTGTTGTTTTCCTTGGCATTACAAAGAAAACTGATGAGCTTCCAGCACCATCAAGGTCTGTCACCATCAGTCTGATTATTTCTCCATAAGCTTTTTCAGCTCTTTTTATGGAGGAGCTCATGTGCCAGCACTGAGAAATAAGAATCTGTGAAAAGTTAGTCCTAAAGTCATGGGACCAGTAACTCAAAAAAAAATAAAAAAATAAAAAAAGGTAGTCTTTAGTTATGCTGCCTTAAATTGACTAAGGACACAACAGATATCTGCTGCAGCCAGACCACATGAATTTTAAAAGTGTATTAAATTCTGTATGCTTACACACCTGTCCTTTCCACCATTTCTTAATGGGGAGGGTTTCACACGGAATCACACAGTGATAGAAACAGTAGGAAAAACTGTTTGCCTAAAAAGCCCAGCTTCAGTAGAGGAATCCCCTCGTGGTCTGCCACGGGGCTTCCTCCTCTGGGGAAACAAACTGCCATTATCCTGCCTGGGATTCAAATCAAATTCAGATTACACGCTCGCTGTATGCAACACTCAATCTTTTCTCCCCTGCAAGCGTTTATAAGACATAGGGTATCCTTTACCCAAGAAGAGAACATGTAATGATAACATATTTATGAAACTTAAATGGTTCAATTATTTTCATCCCAGTAGCTTTATGGGAGAAGTAAAAGTACGAAACTCCACCAAATGATATAACTCAGAGGAATTATTACACTGCTTGTGCATTACTACTAATTCCACCCTATTAGGTGATACTATATCTTTTCATAATGAAGATTAAATGCAGCAGAAACCATATAATGGCAGAAGTGCTGTAGATCAAATTGAGTCTACCATAAGAAAAATGATCGCTGATCCCAAGACGTTATGGAATAGTAAACTTAAATTGTGCTGCTTTTCAAGTTTATGTGACTATGATTATTTAATTTTCCTTTGTGCGTGCTCAAGTATAGCTGATATGCGACTACACATGAGAGAACCTGAAATTAATTTGTCTGTATAAGATCAGTGACTGTACAAATTCTTATGAAAACTAACATGCCATGACAATAGTAATTTTGATAAAATTACAGCAAGAACTGCAATTCTCTGCCATCTGGCTGTCTCATCATAACTACTTTGATGTGCTTTTTATTACTTATTTACTTACTTCAACTACTTTAGCAGTTGTTTCAGAGCTCAGAAACATTAACTGCAGAACAGTGTTAAAGAAACAGCATTGCCAAAGCTGAATATTAATTCCTTACAGAAGACAATCTACAATCATCTTTAATTAAACCCCTAAAAAAAATAGATCTACTCTATAAGATTTCTACTGTATAATATCTACTTTATAAGAAAGCAGACACATTTTGTATTTCATATTTTAAAATGCAAATATGTATCAATTTTCGGAGTAGTCTGATTAGTTTATTCAAAAGTCTGAATGAAGTGCCATTCCCCTTTCATCTTCCTATATAAAACCTTTCAATTACTCTTGGAATTGAGTTACATATTTACTTTATATAAGAACACAATTAACAGCCTAACAGAGGAGTATATCTAGGTACATTTTTATAAATAAGGAACCCATTTACTTGAGGTCAGGGTATCAGTACTATGCATTTCTAATTCAATCATATTTATTCCAAGGCAAATAATCTCTTTAGTGACTTCTTGTGAATACTAACTAGCCACCATAATGTATTTCCTTTATAAGGGGTGGAGAATGGTGGAGAAGGTCGAATGCTGCCTTTATGTTACCACTGCAAATCTGTTTGCTTGGTAAAGGTCCTGATCTGAAAACACAGAGCTCTTGTAATTTTATACTTTAATCTTTCTGATTCAGATTTCTGAGAGAAACCCCAGTATGTCCAAAGCTCAAAGTATCACCCCTCTTTTCCAGGATATTTTCCATATCCTTTAGAGAATTATTAGATCACAGAATGCAATATGGTTCAAAATGTGTGCACAGTAAGTATCATCTAACACATGATAATTTAGCACACACGGATTTTATAGAAATTTTAAACTTCTGAAGCCCAAGGTTAAAAAAAAAAATACTACAGAAGGCAAGTACACAACTACCAACCTAGCAGCAATCTAGTTCTGATTATTTTTTTCATATACTCTTTAATACTTAAGAAATACTTGGATACGATCTGAGAAAAGCCAGTAAAGTACAAAGCATAGATTTGGCAAGATGAAGAGATTCTAGTAACATGAATCCAGCCATCAGCCCTGACACTATGGCAATCCTGGTCCCTGACATCAGTTCAGTGGGAAGGTTAGAACCATGGAATAACAGAATATCCTGAGTTAGAAGGGACCCACAAGGATCATCAGGTCCCATGCCTGGCCCTGCACAAGACAACTCCAAGAATCACACCCTGTGTGTGCCTGAGAGCATTGTCCAAAGGCTCCCTGAGCTCTGGCAGGCTTGGGGCCGTGGC